CTTAAAGCCTTATCACCCCTCTAATTCACTAATTGAATAATCCAATATATAAGAAAATTAACTAAACTGTTTATTTTTTATTAAGATCATTTTGATAGATCTATCTGTGGAACAGAACAGAATATACCCTAACACAATAATTCAATCGTAGAGTTCATACTTAGGCAGTATCTATCTCAATTCTAAAGTTCTCAGTCTGAGTTCACCTATATGTTACTCTATGTTATCTTGGCCCTTAACTTTATTTTCATAGTTATGTTTTGTGACAATCTCTCTAAATTTCTTTTATTTAAATTAACACCAATTCCCAAGTAGTTATATAATATATATAAGTTATATATATATAAGTTATATATAATCATACTTTCAATATAAAGCTTCTATAAAGTTCTTTCATTCATTTACAGTTACAGAACAACTGAGCAGTAAAAGCTGTTGTAGAGAAAGACTGAAAACAAGATAAACTGAAAAAAAAACAGAGGAGATACTAGGTACCAAGGGCTTATGCCTGTAACTCTAGCTACTCAGGAGGCTGAGATCTGAGAATTATAGTTTGAAGCCAGAAAAAAAACTGGAGTATAGCTGTAGCTCAAGAGGTAGAGCACTAGCCTTGAGTAAAAGAAGCCTAGGAACAGCCCTGAGTTCAAGCCTCAGAAGCAACAAAAAAGAGAGAAAGGAAAGAAAGATTTTTCATAGAACAATAATATTTTAATACACAACTCCAATTGTTAGTAAGGTCTGTTCTCATTCTTTTCATAGAGCTATGTCAGAGACTCAGCAGCCTTCTAATTGATCCCCCCTTTGTGGCAAGCTATTTTCTCATCCACTCAATCTTTCAACAACTGTTTAAATAGAGCCACTATCAATTGCAAGGTACTAAGAATATAGCAATATGGAAGAAACATACTGCTCTTACATCACAATATTTAATTTGTTTGAATCTCAATTTATAGGAAAAAAACTTAAGTAATAATGTGTGAAAGCACTCATTTTAAGGTACTTTTTAAAGTTTCACCACTTACTAGTTAGTGGAGCAATACTTAATTTTTAGATTCACAAAAAACTTGGAATTAATAAAATCATAGTCATTTAATAAGAAGTAGTGGGATGTATATAATCAAAGGATATTATATACATGCATAAAATTTATAACAAAACCCATTATTCTATACCATTAATATATATTAATAAAAAGGGGGAAAGAATAGCCATTTAATCTAGAAGTAATCATGTTGCACAGAGTAACATTTCAAAAATATCTTCTATGTCTGACTATCATCTCTGATATTTCGTAAAATAATTCTAACTTTGAAATGAAATAATACTGCTTCTTCACCACAGTTTTTGTTCTTTTGCAGACATGTTCAGTGACTGGGTGCCCTCTAGTGGACATCAGATGTCAACACAAGTTGTACAAGTTACAGTCATTAGTAAAAGTGCATTTTTGTTGTTTAGACTAAATTGAAATAAGTAACTTGACTATTTTAAATGTCAATATGTACATTAAACTGAAGTAAACTTCAATCATTTTCATGTTTCCTTCATTTAAGAGACCTATAAATGTAGTGACTATGTGTTAACTTGTACAAGACAGTCCCAGGTACAATGTAAACGTATAACCACCAATATATTTTATTATTTAATAACTTAAAGAGATAATTTGTCAAGCCAGTTGCTGGGACCAGTGGCTCATGTCTGTAACCCTAGCTACTCAGGAGGCTGAGATCTGTCTGAGGAGCACAGTTCAAAGCCAGCCTAGGCAATTTCAAGACCCAGGACTGTCTGTCTGTCTATCTTTCTCCCACCCCCTCTCTCACACATACACATACACACACACACATACAAATACACACACAAAGATAATTTTTTCTTTCAGAGCTCATATTGTATTCCTATATTTTTTTAGCATTAGCTAAATGAGAATACCTCATTATTTGTCTTTAGATAATCACTCTGTCAATAAAAGACAAAGATTCTGCAGAAAAGGTATCAGCCAACTTAAAGACAATAATATAGCTTTCATTCTTTCACTATGCACTAAGTATTCATATGAATAAACATAATTTACCAACAGTGGTACCTACTAACTGTCCAAATGAAGCACTGAAATTGTGAGCGAACACCTGAATGGAAAATTTAAAACAACTACCTTGAGTAATCCTATGAACTAGAAGAAAACACAAATGATTCTCTGAAAAACAGATTTTTAAAACTCAAAAAATCACTGAGCTGAAAAATACACTAAGTAGATTTTTAAATACAATAAAAGCAAAATGAACCCCAATATAGGGACACAAGTGGTTCTTTCTTTCTTGCTATTGTTTCTAACATATTTATAAGGTATCGTGTGGTGCTTTTTTTGTTGTTGCTTTGTATGTCCCTCCCCCACAGTATAACCCGTTTTCACTGTATTTGATGTTGGTATAATTTGGGAAGGGAAAAAAACAAATTGTTTAAATAGGGATACAGGTTGACCCATTGCAACAATGAGATGTACAAGACGCTATGAGGAAAAATGAACTTTACAATTTAGGCGAGGGAGGGGTGGGAATGTAGTTGAGGAGTGGGAGGGAAGGGACGGTAGGGGAAAAAGAAAGGAGGAGGCAACAATGCTTGATAAGGAATGTACTCCTTACCTTGCTCATGTAACTGTAACCCCTCTGCACAGTATTTTCACAGTAAAAGAAGCCACAAAGGAGAAGAATAAACCAGGCATAATAATTAGCAAGCTCAAAGACAGGCTATTTCAAAATACAAAGGAATGAAAACTCTTCACAGGAATTTTGCAACATTGAAAGAACAAGTATTTAAGCTATTAGGGTTCAGAGGGACTTGAGAAGAAAACAAATTCAAAGTAACAACAAAATATCCCAAGTATGAAAGATACAGCTATCAAGCTAGGCACTGGTGACTCATGTCTACATTCCTAATTACTCAGGAGGCTGAGAACTGAGGATTATAGTTGTAAGCCAGCCCAGGCAGCAAAGCCAGTGAGATTCTTATCTCCAATAAACTACTCAGAAAAGGCTGGAAGTGGCACCTTGGTTCAGGTGGTAGAGCACTAGCCTTGAGCATAAAGATATATGTGAAAAAAAATGCAAAGTCATATCTTTGTAGAAGAACACTAAACTGTACTTACAATGTAATTCTAAATTTCAAATAGAAAATTTTTGAATAATCAAAACAGCTTAAAAAAACAAAGTCAGGGGCCCAACACCATCTGGTTTTAACAGTATACACCAGCAGTTATCAAAACAACATGGTACTGACATGAAGACACATGGATGGGATGGGATGGGATGGGATGGGATGGGATGGGATGGGATGGGATGGGATGGGATGGGATGGGATGGGAAGGGAAGACTGTGTGAATGGACCCACTCAAATGCTGACAAAAACTCATTTTGGACAAAAAGTCACAGTAAGGTTACTTTTTACCAAATTTTTTAAAATAGAATAAATGAATTATATATATTTTTATGTTGAAATGGTTTTTTTTTATTGTGAAAATACCGTACAGAGGGGTTACAATAACATGGGCAAGGTAACGAGTACATTTCTTATCAAGCATTGTTGCCTCCTCCTTTGTTTCCCCTTCCCATCCCTTCCCATTTCCCCCCTACCCCCGCCCTCCATCCCTCCCTTCCCCCTGCGCCAAAGTTGTAACGTTCGTTTTCAACACAGCCTCTTGTACATCTCATTGTTGCAATGGGTCCACCTGTATCCCTATTTAAACAGTTTTTTCCCTTCCCCTCCAAAATTATACCAACATCAAATACAGTGAAAACAGGGGTTGTACCGTCAGGGAGGGACATACAAAGCAACAAAGAAATAATCTTATAAATATGTTAGAAACAATTGCATTAAAGAAAAACCATTTGAGTCCTTATCTTGGGGTTCATTTCCCTAACATCAACTTATCTGACCTTTTCTGCTTGTCTCAGACATATACTAGTTATTGCAAATAAGGGAAACCATGGGACCTATGTTTCTTTGGGCCTGGCTTACTTCACTTAATATAATTTTTTCCAAGTCTTTCCATTTCCTAACAAATGGGGCAGTAAATGTAAAAACTAAAATCATACTATTTTTAAGAGAAAATACAGAGTATGTTCTGACATCATAATATGCCCAAACTATAAATTTGAGAGAAGGAATCAGAATACATCATCTCTTAGATTCTTAGGGCAGGTAATAATTCCTTTGAAAATACCCAAAAAAGCACTAAGTGCAATAGCAAATTATACATCACCAAAACAAAATTTAAGAAACTTTAACCAAATACATTTCAAGAAATTTCAAACCAAATTTTGGCAGTGCATAGAAGTTAAAAGCAATATAAAGCACTCAATAATTTAAAATAATCCTAAACCACAAAAAGTCTTTTTTTAATACACAGCTCAAGAAAAATGTGAACAGCTACTAAACAGAAGAAGAAATATCTTCTTTTTGTTGGAGAACTCAAAACTAGAATGAGAGCTGGGCACTGGTAGCCCTCAGCTATAAGTCCTAGCTACTCAAGAGGCTGAGATCTAAAGGTTAAAGTCTGAAGCCAGTCCAGGTTGACAAATTCATGATACTCTTATTGCTTAAAAAAATAACAAAAAAATAGCAAAAGGCCAAAAGAAGAGATATGGTTCAAGTGGTAGAACCCAAGCCATGAGAAGAAAAAAGGAAGAGTACAAAAGCCTCCAGTACTGCCCAAGAAAGGTGAGAGAGAGAGAACTGCAATAATTCCATTAGGAAGTTTATAATTTTAAAAAAAAATTGGAATCCCATTTAATTGTATTTCTTTAATCCAGAAAGATGTTGATAACACTCACACATCAAACATAACCTAGCATATCTCAACTCCTAAATATATTCAGCATATGTAAAATGCACAGACATTAACATTACATTTAGACAACTCACTGTTGTCTAAACATTCCATATGTGTTTACTTCTGTTTGAAATGAAGATTAATAATAACCCATTTGCCTAAAGATTAAACAAAATGTTTACCTGTCTGAAGCTATGTCACTGGCAATTTGGTGCTTTACTTCTGACCCATTCTTAATAGAATTCTGTCTTGTGAGCCCAGGAGATCGACTTTTCTCCACTGCAGGTATAGGTAAATCGCCTGAGGGTCCCTGGAATTGGACCTGCTCATGTAGCTTTGCTTTCTTCTCCTGAGGTGCCTCCTCATTTCTATGTCCTCGAAGAATCTTTTGATCAGACTGCTGTGGTGTATTAGACCCACTATTATAAAACCATGCTCCCGATTTAGTGAGGATTTCTTGTTGTTTTCGGCACAAATTACATACCCACATAACCTGCAAAAGAAGACATAAGAAAAAGAAATTATTCTCTCCAAAAGTTAGAAATGGACGAAAAGAAAAACAGCAATTCAAGCCAACAAAAAAAATTATATGGTAATCCTACTGAAATTAAAATGCAAGTAATTGCTATTACAAATTAAATAATTTATCATTTATTTTAATTTTGTCAGAGTAATTATAATGAAATAAGCAATAGTTACTGAGAATAGAAATATTATAGAATCAAATTACTAATGTATTTTTATTGCTAGTTGTTTATTTGTATTCTTTATATTTATTTAATTACATATATAACAAAGTACACAGAAAAATGAATTTTGAATTTAAATAATAACTCCCAGACTCCTTGCTAAAGACTGCAAAGTGAGCTTGCTGAAGAAGTTGGAAACCTACAGAACTTGTTTCCTTAAAAAGAGAGGGATGTTAAAATACTATTTTTTTTCCTGTATAATTTTGAAAATTAGAAACAATTTATATTAAAATGTCTTCTATATAATAGACTTCCAGTAAATCATTTGTCAGTATTAAGGTCATCTCCTATCACCAATAATATTATATGATGTTTGAAGGGACTTTTATTTCATTTACATAGTTCCTAATACTTAAAATTAGGCTAAAATATTATTAGCGCAGTAAAAATCTATTAATAGCTCATAATTTGTAGTAATCCATTTGATTTTTAATGTAGTTTTTAAAAATCATAAAAATTACCATTTTAATAAGTTTTTTATTGTGAAAATACTGTATAGAGGGGTTACAATCACATGAGCAAGGTAATAAGTACATTTCTTTTTCTTTTTTATTGTGAAAATACTGTACAGAGGGGTTACAATTACATGGGCAAGATAATGAGTACATTTCTTATCAAGCCTTGTTGCCTCCTCCTTTGTTTTTCCCCTACCCCCCCCCCCCCCCCCCCCCCCCCCCACCCCCGCCAAATTGCAGAGTTTGTTAAATTTCATTGCTGCAATGGGTCAACCTGTATCTCTATTTAAAGAATTTGGTTTTTCCCTTCCACTCCCCAAATTATACCGACATCAAATACAGTGAAAACAGGGGTTATACCGTGGGGGAGGGACATAAGAAGCAACGAAGAAATCACGTGGTATCTTATAAATACGTTAGAAACTATAGCAAGAAAGAAAAACCATTTGTGTCCCTATCTTGGGGTTCATTTCGCTTAACATCATTTTATCTGACCTTTTCTGCTTGTCTCAGAGATATACTAGTTATTGCAAATAAGGGAAACCATGGGACCTATGTTTCTTTGCGCCTGGCTTACTTCACTTAATATAATTTTTTCCAAGTCTTTCCATTTCCTAACAAATGGGGCAATGTCATTCTTTCTGATGGAGGCATAGAATTCCATTGTGTATATATACCACATTTTCTTGATCCATTCATCTACTGAGGGGCATCTGGGTTGGTTCCAGATCTTAGCTATGGTAAATAATGCTGCAATAAATATAGTTGTGCTGGTAGCTTTAGTGTGGTCTTGTTTGTGATCATTCGGGTAAATGCCCAAAAGTGGGATTACTGGGTCATAGGGGAGCTCTATGTGGAGTCTTTTGAGGAACCTCCATACTGCTTTCCAAAGTGGTTAAATAAGTTTACACTCCCACCAACAATGCAGTAAGGTTCCCTTCTGTCCACATCCCCTCCAGCATCTGTTGTTATTAGACTTCACCATCACCATTTTTAAGTGTACTCTTCAAGTAAGTACATTTACACTGTTGTAAATATATCTCCAAAAACTCTTACAAACCTGAAGCTGTATACCCATTAAACAGCAATGGCTCATTCCCCTTTCTGAACTGCTGGTAAAAAACCATTCTATATATTTATTATAAATATAGTCTATATTCTAGATATTATTTTAATACCTACATTTTTAGTACAGTAATCTAAGTAAACTACTATATGTATAATCAGAAAACCCGTCAACCCCTTCTAATTTTTTTTCTAATTCATAGAAAAAAATTACAAAAGAAAAGGTGAGCTATTTCAAGTGATTACTGATATATTAATGTTAAATACTGACCCTGTAAAGTTCTCCATATTGCTAAATATTTTATCATATTTAAATAAATTATAAATAAATTATATCAATATAGGTAATCCTATTAAAAGAAACCTTTAGGGTACAGAAATGAACTTATTAGATACATATAGCCCAAGCACCAGCATTCAACATAGTGTGTTCAGCTAAAACAAAGATGTTTTTTATAAAAATAGCATTTAAACTTTTTTAATGTTCTGTTGTACCAGTTTCATGTTTGTACAGTTCTTAATATACAGTATTGTAAAGTTCACTTTTTTAATGTTTTGTTCTTTCTTTGAGTTAGTTGTATTAACATTTCTTTTTTCTCAAACTAAATGTAAAGCTCTCTGGAGAAAATGATTATATTATCTGCTAGCATAGTTAGACCATATAAATCACAGAATTTAAACAGATTCCTGCATATATTACAGTGATAAGCTATGCCAGATGATTCTAAAATATGAATATATCTAGAATGAGTCACACTCAGAGCCCAGGACCCCAGATCTCCTACTGAACTAAAAGCCTGAGGGAAGGACACAGCAGTCTGTGACATCCCCTCTGCCAAAATCCTCCAAATGATTCTGATATTTGAATTTGAGAATCATTGTTTTGTGACAAGGATTTTCAACTCAATACATGAGTGAATTGTAAACGTGGTATCCAGAGGGCTAAGACCTCATCAGTTCACCTTAGTAAGAACTAAACATGATACACATACTGTATTTCTGTGAAGCCCAATATGAGATAATTGTTGGAACCATTACTAACCTTATTTTCCTCATCTGTTAATACCCACTAGATATTAATATAAGCATAAATTTTAAAGGATTATGTTTGACTAGTATTCACTATTGTGTATTAATATCTTTCTAAAACTCCCTAGACTATCCTCATTCATTGATCTTTTTCTGACTAGATCACTTAAGCCCCTCTAAACTAGTATCTTCATATTCTACCATACAAATTATCTCTTAGGCTTTATTTACAAATTATCTCTTAGGCTTTATTTACAGAGAGAGTTTTTTTGTTTTATTGTATTTATTTGTTCTTGGTTTTGTTTGCTTGGCTGGGTGGCTTTTAGGTTGGTTTGGGGTGTTTTGTTTTAATGACTATCTATGCTTGCCCTTCAAATATCTGGGCCTTGAGAGTTCAGGATTTCAGAGGATAGGGTATTATTTCAAAGTGTAATGTTTTTGGTTTTCTGAGACATGATCTTGCTATTTAGTCCAAACTTGCTTTACATTCTCCACCATCCTTCTTCAGTCTCCTGAGTGCTGGGATTACAAGCATGTGACACCCTGCCTCAAATTATCTTTCTTTTTTTCTTTTACATTGATAGATTCTATAAACTTTAAAGTTCATAAATATCAAAAGTTTAAGAATTCCTAAATCCACTCACAGAAAGTACTACAAAAAGACCTTACATTTTCTCGTAGGCCTTTATAACACAGCAATTTATTAATTTTGAACTACCTCTCACAAGTGCATATATATAAATGCAAGATAATTTTTCACTATGAGATGAATAATATTCATTAGAGGAAAATTCCATGTCCACGGAAAATATCGGAACTAATTTGGGAATTAAATCACAGGGTTGTATAAATTAACCACATTAACCAAGTAAGCTAACCATCAATTATATTTCATAACAAATGCTATTAAAAATATCTTAGATATATGTACACATGTAAATAACCAAAAATATGTTAAAGCCTGATATTTATCAAAAATATCTAGACCTTGCAATTCAGGATTTCAAAGTATAATGTATTATATTACCTTCCAGTCCTAAATATGCCAATCTTTTCAGTCATTATCCATATTAAGATATAAGGTTTCTAATGAACCACACTTGTCATTTAATACTAATGCTAATTCTACTAACTTTGTTGGTGAGGCTGAAAAAAGTACTATTTTTTATTGTTTGATGAATTGTATATTCTTATTCATTCCCTATTATCTTGGGTGTTTTTGTACATTTTTTATTGTAAAATTACTGTACAGAGGGATGAATTACATGAGATCCCTCAAAAAACTGAACATAGACCTTCCTTACAATGCAGCCATCCCACTCCTGGGCATCTATCCTGAACCTATGAGCAGGATATGCTAAAGACACATCCATGTTCACTGATGTGCTATTCAGAATAGCCAAGATATGGAAACCACTTAGATGACCCAAACTAGATGAGTGGATCAAAAAAATGTGGTACCTATACACACTGGAATTTTACACAACTATCAGAAAGAATAAAATAATGTTATTTGCAGGGAAATGTATACAACTAGAACAAATCATGTTAAGTGAATTGAAGTAAGCCAAGCTCAGAGAGGCAAATTATGTATATTCTCTCTGATATGAAAAAATTAGACCTAAAATAGACTGGGATATGATTAATCATACAGAATTTTAGATATTCACACACAGTGAGACCAAAAGAAGATCCTCTTAAGAGAGAAACACAAAGGCGCAATGCCTAAGTGCCTATTAATTATATATATATATTAGTTTTATATATATATATATATATATATATATACACACACACATACATACACAGTGATAAGAACTCCAAGATATGGAGCTTTTTCTTCCTTTTCTTTAGTTTTTAGGTTTTGATGATTCTGTCTTCTTTACCCTATGTATGGTGTATTCAAGTGTCCATCAACAGAAGGGGTGAAGGGAGGGTACAGAACTCAAGGGAAAAAGAGTGAAAAAGTACACCAGTGGAGCTCACTGGACACTGATGAAAGTGAACTATACCACTCAGGGTAGAGTTCGTTTTCAGCATACTGTCTTGTGCGTCTCATTGTTACAATGGGTCATCCTGTATCCTTATTTCAGCATTTTCTTATTTCCCTTCCCCTGCCCAAACTAGAAAAATGTACATACAAGATATAGGACACCAGAATCAAATACAGTAACAACAAGGGTTGTACCATGGGG